TTTTGAACCAAGAAAAGGAAAAATGGTAATAGATCGAAAATATTAAAAAATTTAAGTGAAAGTTGATGACTTGGCAGTGATTTGGCGCGTTGACCGTTAGTCAACACGTTTAATCATCCAAGATAACGGTCAAACACCGGATTTGGCCAATTTCGTTACTTTGATGTATAGTATGGGCCAGGATGTTATAGATCGAAAAGATTGGCCATGATGTTTATTATGTGAAAAGTTCAGGGCATACAAATATATTAACCCTAAAATTTAAATTTTCGAAAATGGTGTTTCATTACTGCAAAACATTTACGAGTTAACTTTTGCTTATAGTGAAATTCTGGGAAGAAAGAGTTTGTTATTGGTGGAGGTAGTCAGTAATAAGATTATGACGTCGTTGAGAAGAAGAAATAGATTATTGATAGTGGATATAAAAATTTTAATGATTGAAGAAAAGAGCGAATTATTGATAATATTTATCACTTGAATGAGGTAAATTTTAGTAGTTTGAAATAACGTTTCACATTTTTAACCTTTTACATTTTGTTTTTGAGGAAATGCATGATAAAATGATAGAGTAGTGATGCATTGTGAATATGAAAGTTTTATTAGTGAAGACGAAGCCGTGTGAAGAAGATAATGCTTTTGATGCGGAGAAATCACAAAAGAATTCCAAAAGAAATTTTGAAGTAATTTCTTACTTTGAGGAATAATTGAAGTGCACTTATTATGATTTTTAGGAATGGATTTTTATTTGCTACCATGAGAGAATTGAAGTGCACTTATTATGATTTTTAGGAATGGATTTCCTTGCATGAGTTGTTTTTTTATACTTCCGGCGAAAACTTATGCTTATGAATGATCGTAATGCCATAAATTTATCATCTATGTTTCATATCTGTGTAACTGAATAATATGAATTCTCTCATGGTAGCAAATAACAACGTAAGTTGATTCAAACATTTTGTATTCTATTTATACTATCGATGTTATTCATCCGGCCAACGGGCGGGCCCACATTTAGTATTGAATACTAAAATCTAAATTTGTATCATCATCAATTACAATCATCTACAATCACAAAGATAATACAAGTTTTCATTTAGTGTCGAACACTATACATCAAGTCCTATCAAGTAATTTTGCCCTTTTATGCTGAGATCACCACAAGCTTCCCCTAGCTCCGGACAACAAGGCCAACCCACCCACGACGGATTTCAGCGACCCACAGGCTGGCCAGTCCACCAACAGAAAGAAGAAAAAAAACCAATGGGCCAATCTCAAACAACCCAAAAGCTTACCAAACCATATCTTAATCCAAACTTTCTCCACCCGTGAAGTAGAGTCCCGCCAAAATTCCAATTCACGGGTTTCCAATCCCCAAGCGGCCTAGCCTCATTCCCTCCCTCTATATAAATCCCACTCGCTCACTGGGCAGCGAGACCCCCGACTACCAGTCGTAGCGGCTGATAGTCCGATTCGAGTCACATCAACAGACTTATTATGGGGCAATCCAAGTATCATATCGGAAATACAAGGGAAGAAACTCTTGTATATTAGAGTTCACCTAGCCCAATTAGTACGAGGCCTTTTGGGGAGGACACCCAAGAGTAAAATCGTGCGGGCTTGACCCAAAGCGGAGAATATCGTACTAATTGAGCGGCCCAATTATGACAAGAGATAGCCCCATAACATAAGCATTGCCTGTAACGTTGTTATGTAACAGTACGGTTTATATCCAACCACTCCTCGTTTGGGGAGGATGTTCATGTTAAGATGCAGAAACTTTGATGAGATTGTGTTGTAAGAAACAATGACGAGTCACATTAACCTAGCTTAAAATTTTATAAAAAGAGGCTTAAAATCTTTTAGAATCAATGTGAAACCAGAGAAAAACATATATTGTTTCAATGTGAATTGTGAATATCGAAAGAAGCTTAAAGTCTGTATTCTCTCAAGATTTGGTCTGAGAGGCTTAATCTCTCGAATCAAGCATAAACTGCTCATATGCTCTGGCTATTGTAGATGGAAGCTAGCTCACTTTGGGACGCCTGGATGCGTGCGTATCATTTTAAAAAAGGGTGACCTCTGGTCTATTAAGCTGAATTCGATCAACTCTTAAACTTGGAGGAAAACTTTGAAGTTGAGGGACTTGGTCCAGCCTTACTTACACAAGCAGGACTCTGCTATTTTCTGGAATAGTGCACTGATTGCAGCACTACTATGTTCAAGTAGTCTGGGAGAGATTACGGCCTTGTACAATTAGGGCTCTGTCCTGTATACCCATACGGGTTTAGCACGAAGAGAGAGGAGGGAAAAGTTGTTAGGCCAGCGTAACTATCTGATTAATGAATTTACATGTTGAAATTCCTAACTTGCTAACTTGTCTTCGTAATCCTTTGACTTTGTAAATTTGTGCACTTTAGTCCGTTTGATCATAATCAAGTGTGATCATAATCTCTGACAGCCCCGCCGCATACTAAGCATGGATCGTCTTCAAGCTTATTCTGGAGAGCAATTCAGTGAAAATGGACCGAAAGCACTTCGGTGAAAGGATCTGCAAGCTAAAGTTTGGTGGAGATGTGTTGAACTTTCATATGCTTGACTTGAACTTGATCCTCAGTGAAATGAGAGTCAATCTCGATATGCTTCGTGCACTCGTGTTTGATTAGATTCTGGGTCATCTTGACTATTGAGAGGCTGTCACAGTTGATGGTATAAGGCAGTTGAGGTTGAATGGGAAATTCTCTGAAAAGATATATCATCCATTGAAGTGTTGTAAGGTGTCTGCAACAGCCTTGTACTCTGCTTCATCAGAGGACCTCGGAACAGTTTGTTGTTTCTTTGATCTTGACTCTGATACCACTACACTTAATCCCAATTATAGGCCAAGTGCAACCTATAGACGGGTGTAGGATATGATAAATATTTCAATATCAACCCGGGTGATCTATCTACCCTTACTTTAATTGTTCAAACGTTATCTAGTGATCGGATTGTGGTTAAAGCTAAGAAGACTAAGAAAATTAAACAAGCAAACAAGTAAACTTAGGTGAGTTTGATTAAGAAAGCATCACTCGACTATTTCTCCCCTGGTCTCATGTCAAGATACAACAAATGAAACTCTAGTGATAAGTACGTAGGATCATATACCGTGAGGAGGTCGCAATTAGCTAGGGAAACCCTAAGCCTCTTAATCGATCGACCAAGGTTGTAACACCACTCCCTTGGAAGTTAATCTGGAAAGGCGAAAAGCAACCAATCAAGACAAAATCATGGCACTACATCAACTGATACACCGCATGCTCGTGACTTAAGACTCCAGCTCATCGATGAGAACCTCAACTTCAAGGAGGTTCTACTGTGACCGAAACTTAGGAGCCACCATCCAGCTAACAACGTGAAAGAAGTGCTTGTTGGGAGGCAACCAACCACTCGGTTTGCACTTTCTATCCCTTTGCTCTTTGGTTGAGTCATTCTTTTGATTTTAGAGTCAATAACTCAACCTTTGTGAGATTTTATCTGGCGTTTGTGCTCCGATTACTAATTCTCCCATGGAATGCACCTATTGCATCATCCACTATCATTCATACTTGGTTTGATAACTTCGTTCTATCCTCCTTAAGTTTTCTCCATTGAGGATAATGTTGTGCTTAAGTGTGGGGGAATGTTCATTATATAAGTGTGATGAATGGTGTCTTTTGTCTGTGCTTGGAGCCTAATCCATATTAAAAAAAAATGGTCTGGTGGTGGGGACAACCGCCAGCCCGGGCAGCTCACCGCAACCATCTCGCCTTGTCCCCCATTTTCCCCGAGAATCGACATTTCCTTCCCCCCACAATTGGCGCTCCAAATGGCGATTATCGCCATTAATGACAAGAATGTCATAACTAATAAATGCCGGCTGCATTGGAGTCAGCCTAACGGCACAACACTCTTCTACACAAACGAAAAAATAGTTTGTGTTATGAATGTTATATTAAATAGTTTAAAACAGAAATCACATTTGTTTGATAGTTCGGATGTTCTAGTAGAATTAGCCCTGATTTTTATCCACGGTGTTTTTGCCATCTAATCAAGTGACAACCTATCCAACTAACCCAAAAAAATGCACATTGTAGCCCGTTGCAGGACACACCAGGCCCACCTAGTTGCTCCTCTCCCTCTGTATGTGCAAAGTGCAATGCAAGTATGCAACCCAAGAATAGTGGTCCCGTCTCAAAATAAAAAATCAAAGAAAAGAGAATAAAAATAAGTTTGAATATATTACTAAACAATTCCATTTCTCTGTTGCTGGTTCAGCTCACAAAAAGCGCATGAAACGTGTCAATCCTCCAATTGATGGTGGAAACGTCAAACAAACCGGTCTCTCTCCTCCTTTAATAATAGCACTGATATTCCGCGAGCCAAGATTTTTTTTTTTTTCACAACTCCTTCGGAACCTACGGATAGGATTAATGCTTTTCTATAAATAAAAAAAAGACCGTCCGTTTACCGACGCATTGCCACCAATGAAGGATGAGTCATTACCATATCCACAACACAGATTGGTACCTACTCCACAAGCGAAGGTTAGTTTGTTGAAAAATCAAATACCAGCAAGGCGGCAGGCAATGCAAGATTCAACTAGAGTAACTCTAGGTTAAAAACCATTGTAGCTTAGGAGATTTCACTTTCACCGACCCAGACTGTTCAAAATTACCAAAACATCATTTTACCACATCAGCTTCGGATATCAAAAGGATGCCACTGAGATTTCACCGACCCAGACTGGTCAGAAATCAGAATCCCGCCAGAGAGAAAGAGAGGAGGCACAATACCTAAGTACGAGCCCTCATCATATCACCTACTAGGCTACTACCTTCCTCCTAACAGCTAAAAATTAACACCATCCGATAAAAGTCTGGTCCCCACCACGATAACAAGCTCGCGAAAACGAAAAAACTAAACAGCACTACTAACTAGAGACGGTCGGTCAGAGGATAACAGCAGCAGAGATCCGAGGGCCATCAAGCCTCCACGCCAGTATCACCACACTTCGCTGCTGCTGCTGCTGCCGAGGGTGAGCAAATCATCCAAACGAAACCGTAGGGATCCTTCACCTTCCCCACGCGCCCACCGCAGCACGCGCCATCAGATTCCGCGATCTCCCCCTCCGCCACAGCTCCGGCGGCCACCGCCTTGGCGACAGCTGCCTCCACGTCCTGTGTCTCCAGGCAGAGTGACAGTCCACTTCCCACGCCCTTCACACTGGACCTAAACAAGAGGAACAAAATTTGCAGAGGGAGAAATTAGCGTTATGGAAATGGCGAAAAGATTAAGGGTCGGAGGTTCGCAGAAAGCATCAGACCAATCAAGTCCAAGAAACCACCGGCCGTGGAAAACAGGAGACTAAGGCCGGAACCACGACTACATTCGGGATAACGTACGCAAGGCGGAGATAAAGGCAGACTAACGGGGTCACCAACTCAGGATAAGACAAAAACAATAGCGCACAACGGATAAACGCAAAAATAAAAAAATCGATCGCAAGAAACAAAGAGATGAAGGAAAAAACGAAGCCAAAATCATACTACACCACATCCACTGAGACGTCGAAATCAGTAAAAAGGCGTAGAATCAACTCAACGAATAAACAAGTGAATATAAGAACGACGAGAAAAATACGATTCAGTTTGTTCATGCTAGACCTTCATCAAAACGAACAAAATAACAGAGCCAGAATGCTCTGTAGGCTTCCTAACAGTACGATACACAGTCCAGATAAAATACACCGAGAATGGCAAAGGAGAGTATATAAGTCGCTGCCAGAAAGAACATCAAGGTTTGATTTCACCTAGCAAACAAAACGTAAATCCCTAGGTGACAACAAGAAAACAGAGTCCTACCGAACAGATAATGAGATCTGAAGAATATATTTCAACGAGAAGCATCAAGAATACCAAACGCATGGAAGAGCTTAACACACAGAGAGAGAGAGAGAGAGAGACGTACGGAGCGGAATCGTCTGCGAGATCAGAGACGAGAATGGTGGAACCGGCGAGCTGAAGCTGTGCGGAGATGATCTGAGGGAGCTCCTGTTCCGCCTTGCGCTTGGGGTGCGTGGTGCGGCCAGTCTCCACAGCTCCGAAAGCCTCCTTGTAGAACTGGACAGCTTCGCTAGCCTTAGGTGCCTCCACCACCAGCTGAGGCTTGACGGCGGTGAAGGAGACCACCACCTCAGCCTTCTCGGCACCTCCATTGTGGATCTCCGGTTGAGCCATGGATTCCTGCTCCGAGATGAAAAAGTGAAGAGAGGAAGGAAGACCAAAGGAGGAAAAACCTAAGAGAGAGAAAGATGGACGAAAAGCGGAAAATATCAGAGAGAAAATGATAAACGAGGAATGGCCAGGGAAGGACGTTGTGGGGGGGCTTTAATAGAAGCGGGGAAGCGGAACCGCATCGTTTCTTGTGAGGACAAAACGAGAATTGGAAGGGGAAGGGCCGGTTTTGTGTTTGCCATTAGAAGTGTTGTGAATTTACGAACGGTGCCATTATGAAAACTTGCAATCTTCCGTTGTCAGAGCAGTCTCTGCGGGTTGGCCTTTTGCTCGTCTCCCACGTAAAGAATATGCCTCCAATTGGTCAGATTACGAGCCCGTGGCTCGACTCGATTGTTTAGGCTCGAACCTCCATTGAACTTTGCATCAAAAATAAAAGAAGTAATTTCATGCACAATAAAGTAATTTGTAAGGAGTACATGCTGATTTTTGTTTAAGTTTGAGAAAATATATAAAGTTCGTTTGTTTTCACATTTCGGTAAAACTTAAATTTGAGACAAAAATTTAATAATCTAGAAGGTGAAACAAACAAATCCTATATATCTAATCACTCGATTTATCGAATTTTTTCATATTTGACAGCCAAGAAATATATCATTCATATTGTTCACTTATTTTAAATCTAGTTTAACATTGATCACTAATCGTCAAGTTGTTAAATTTACCTTATTTGAAGTCCATTATTAATGATATAGTAATTAAAAAATAATACACAAATAATTATTTTTAATTTTATGCCTCACCGCAACTTAATTCCAAAGTTAACGTAAAAAATGAAATGCAATCCTTCCAATCAAACCTCAACTCAGTTTCAAGAGAAAATCGGAAACAAAGTCAGAGGTAGAAATCGAACCGAAAGAAGAGTTGTTCAATTTCCTTTTCTCTTTCTCATTGATCCACTTCACCATTGTTTTTCGCCGGAGTGCAAGGATCTCAATATTGAGGAGAAGAGATGAGGAATGCGAATCTAGATTCATACCCAGGAGGGGTTCCAACGTAGGAATCTTATTGCAGTCGAAGTGCTAGTTAGTGGAGGATAGCAAACTCCAAGCCAATTGAGTGGTTGTTGCGCATGATGGAATTCATACATGGCGATGTGGCTTCATGGGTAAGTCGATCCGGATCTCAAACTCGGGAGTAGAGATTCGCGAGTTCCCATAAGCTTGAGAATCGCCAAGGTCGAGGGGTCCAGAAGAAGAGGATCATTAATGAGCCATTATGTACTTCCCATTTCATCGGGGGTCTGGATGTGGTGGCGCTAGAGCGAGCCTTAGCTAGAGAGTCTCTAGAATTTGGGCTCCCAAGCCAATGGTGGGTCCGACCGATCTGCTTTGGTTTCAATAGGGTGGGCACCCCCAACCCTAGCGGGCGCAGTGCCTGACAACCCTGCTTCAGGAAAAGAACAAGTGTCTAGCTCGCTGTCGGTGATGTCTGACCCCCCCCCCCCACACACACACACACAATCGAGGGCTCCGAGACACAATGACTCTTGGAGGCCCTCGGGATCGATCATGGTGGAAATCCGGGGATGACCGAGTCTTTCTACCAGGCAAGATTCATGAGCTTGCTTCGAGGAAACTCTACATCATACCAATTCAGTATCACTGATCTTTGTTTGTTTGTAGGCAGTGAAGCAGTCAGTGTCTTCAAATGTCAGGATGACATCTGTTGTGAAGAGAACGAGAAAATGGACACTTATTCAGTTAGTTAAACAGTTATCACTTATTCGGTTGCGGTTAAACCGCTAACCACAAAACAACCTATATCATTAACTGACAACCCCTTTTTATTCTATTTGCGGTTAACCGCAAACTGCATAGCTTTGATCCAGTTAGTAATTTAGCCACGTAACCTCAATTGTATTCGCACTCCTAAGAGGAAGTATCTTGTACTTAAGGAATTTGGAATGTGGAATTGATGAGTGCGGGTTCAAAAGTGGGTAACACGTGTGGGGGCTTGGAGGCAAAAGTGACAAGTGTTCGACTTGAGACTAGTTTAATTCAAATGATTAAATCTAACAGAACGATTTTTTTCAAAGATTTATCAGAGCGCATAGTTGTCCATCTCCAAACACTATATAATTTGACTTTTAAGCTCATGTTATTCATTTTCGATCTTCGGTTGTTTTTTATTTGCATCCATGTTAAGTTATTAACGCTCAACCCTTACTTTAAGTATGCATTACATCAAGAAGAATCGGTAATCTACTGTTTAAAGCAAGCACACAGTTATATTTTAAGCAAAACAAGTTCAACCTACTAAGTTAAGCAAGTTACCAGTTTAGATCTTACCATTTTGTGGGAGATCACCTTATGTAAGGTCAAAAATTCAAGTTGTAAGTAAGCAAGTTATGGAGTTAATTATATCTCTACATGGTGTGAAAGATTAAGTTAAGCAAACAACTACAAGATATCAAGTTAATAAGTAAGAATAAGTACCCTCCCTTAACTAATTGTACATGATCACCTTACTCCTTGTAGACGAGGCAGACCTTGTAGATGATGCATTATGATATGTATGAGGTACTCGATGGTTTCTTACATAGCACTATGTATAGTGTTTTCCATAGTGAGGAAACCCCATAATATGTTATGTCACGATTAGTGTCAGACGTGCTCACCACTACTTTCTCTAGATAAGGAGGTTATGTTCATTATACGTTAGTGTTAGATGGTTGTGTTGGTTAAGTCAAGAGCGAGACCCTTTATCAAGTTAAGTAATAAGAGAGACAATACATTAAGAACTAAATCACAAGTTCAAAATAAAATAATATTCCTAATAATCTACTCCCGTAATAACATACCCACCAATAACATAACAGAGCTTTGAATATGCATGTCTTTTGTTAGGTATATGTTAATAATTTTGAAAAATTGTCCATTTTCTTTCAAAATAAGACTGATTCACTTGTACACTCAGGGCTTGTAGCAGCCACAAGAATATACTAACGAGTCGTTTGGATGAGGAATTGTAACGGATCAATTTGACACAATTGTCTCGTTTTGAGACAATTGTACCAAATTGCCTCGTTTGCCAGCAAAAAATTTGGATGGATCAATTTGTCTGAGGTATTTTGAATTGATCCGTTTTGAGTCAATTTCAATTACCTGGGGTGGGGGCAGGTAATTCGAATTGACTCGTTTTAATTGCCTCGTTTATAAAACGAGACAATTGATCAAATTTACTCATTTCTAAATTGATCCATCCAAACGATCCTTCAGAGATCGAATAGCTCATTGTGAGGATTAGCAGCTCGATGGACTTCCAACTCCGTATATGAGAGTTTGAGCATTATTAGTGGACTTGAGATTGATGTAAAGTAAGTAAGAATGTTATGTCAACTATTTCAAGCTATGTTGATTTATCATGTCTTCTAAACCATGAACGGTTATGATTTTCTATCGTGTATTAAATGTTCCATATTTATTAAGATTATTATTTTAGTAGAACTAATATTTGGTCACGTTAGAGTGTTTACTTATAAAAGAACATAAAAGAGTTTAAAGGCAAGGGACTATTTTAAAAGAAAATGCACAATCTTTCTCCTTTTGTTTCCCTTCGTTGAATTGATAATATCCGTTTAAATTGGGTCGTAAGCACAAGAAGGCTAACTACCGTAATGTTCAATCCAACGGTAGAAAGTGGAAATATTTTCTTTTGCTTGTCGCCGTCTCGAATTCAATTCAAGTGTGAGGCCTAAATAGGCTAACAAAGTGACATGTTTGATATTTCAGGGAGGACAAAAGGTAAACTGGAAAGGAAAGTTCCGTTAGTCACACTATATCCTTGACATGGGGCCTCACTCTCTAGTTATTACTCAGTTGCTCATAAGAAGCTAAAATTATCATTAATTTTATTTTCGAAGCAAAAATCTAGAATGATGATATTTAACTTTTTTTTTACGAGGATTTTTTCAGTATCCATAGTTCCATACCAAAATTTGTTTGGGTGGTGAGGATGTTTTCACTTGTCTTCCTTTCGATTTCTCAGTGTCTTTCTAAATGCTAATCACAACTAGACATAGTGTTACGTTTAAATATACTAAGCTAAGATTAAGGTCACCAAGCCGTCTTAGCTCAGCTGGTAGAGCGCGTGGCTTTTAACCACGTGGTCGTGGGTTCGATTCCCACAGACGGCGCTTTAAAAATCTCTGTCATTTTCATTTCAAATTTTGTTTTTTTTTTTTTGCTCTTCTTTCTGAAATGATGATTATCCAGAGTCGATTCTCCATCTCTGGCTCCCTCTCCGAAAACCCCAAACCTCGCCCCGAAAATGTTGCCGGAAGCAATCGGATTCCAGTCCTCCTCAAGCGGCGCAGCTTTTTTCAACCCAGTCATACCTCTCCAATGTCAATCTCCCCCTCCCTGTTTCTTCCCTTCTTCTCCACCCTTCCACCATCACCGCTGCCAGCTGAAACAACGCAAGAAAAGTCAGCAGCCGCTGCTGGTGGCTCAGTGCGCTGGTAAAGAGGAGGCAGAGAGGTATTTGGAGCAGGAATTAGGGATACCAAGCACTAAAACCAGGACAAAAGAAGAGTGGAATGACAAGCCCGACAACTCTGGTTACGAAGCTCTCCTGAGGGGCGGTGAGCAGGTCACTTCCGTCCTCGAGGAGATGATCACCCTTGTAAGTTCCTTCTTGCTCTCCTAATTCCTTCGAAGATGGGTCATTGGAGGTTTAGGTAGAGTTGGGCTGGTTGAACTGAGACTCTCCTGCATGCTCAAACTGAAGTTCAGAATCAACCCCTTTTCGTGATTCGGGATTCCCGTCATTTGGTAAGAGTTTATTGATTACGCTGTACCTGTAAAATTCTGCAGCTGGAAGACATGAACATGGATGAAGCGTCTGAGAAAGTGGCGGTTGAAATAGCAGCACAGGGGGTGATAGGGAAAAGAGTTGATGAGATGGAATCTGGGTTTATGATGGCCCTTGATTATATGATTGACATTGCCGGTAAAGACCAAGACGATAAGGTAATTTATGCTGCTGTTGATAGATTTCAAGCATTCTGTTTTTTTCTGTGGTGGAGCTCTAAGTCTTCAGCACACGTTCTTTGCTGGTTATTTGAACTGATAGGTCACTTGGCTTTGTTAGGTCTAAGAACAGGATCAAATCATCCTAGTAGGGTTACTTCAATTTCCTTTTATTCTGATATTTTATATACATTTTCCATCTTATCTCATGGGTTTGGTCGCATTGGTGCTGAATTTTGTCTCCGTAACTGCAAACCTCAAGTCGTCTGAGTTTATCTTATCAACATGGCTGGATTCCAAGTTGACTGTGTTCTTCGGATTCTGGCTTGGTGAGATTTAGAAGTGGAATTTTGATTTTTGACTGTCTAGTATATGGGGCTGTTTGCAGCGAAAGGAACTGCTGGAAGTTATCAAGGAAACAGTATTGGCACATTTGACCAAGAAATGCCCTCCTCATGTGAGCGTTATTCTCCTAAATAATGGCACAAGTACACTTGGTCCAGCTTTCACATTGTTTTTGTTATAACCCATGAGCGCTTGGAACTGAATCCTTAAGCTCATTGCAGGTTCAAGTAATTGGCTTGCTTTGTAGAACCCCGGGAAAGGACAGCAGGCATGAGCTGCTACGTAGAGTGGCTGCTGGTGGGGGTGCCTTTGGAGGAAAAGGTGGCACTAAAGTTCATATCCCCGGAGCAAATCTAAATGATATAGCTAACCAGGCGGACGATTTGCTTGAGGTAATAATATCTAGTTCCTCATGTGAGTCTTTTGAGTGCTGGGTGCTGCCGCTTTCCTTTGATTTTGTTTTTTCTTGAGGCTATAAAAAACTCCTTTATGAGTTGGTTGAACATTGAAAGAATTAGAACAGTGTCAAGCATTTCATATAACAGGTGAAAAGTCTGAACTTCTATTTTTGCTCTGTTGTCCTTTATAAGTTTTGGATGTCATTCATTTTCTCACATCTGGTGGTTAACATGATTTTTTAAGTTTCCATATAATTGAGACCATGTGAAGTCTAATCATTTTCTTTCTTTGTTGTTTTAGACAATGGAAACTCGACCAGTGATACCTGATCGCAAACTACTTGTAAGGCTAGTGTTGATCAGAGAGGAAGCCAGGGACATGATGGGAGGTGGAATACTGGATGAAAGAAATGACCGTGGTTTTACCACCCTTCCTGAATCCGAAGTACCCACCTGATTATACAGTATACTTGTTGTTGTTAGGTTCACTGGAACGGATCAAGATGTGATTTTCAACAATTCTTTCTTGTTCAAATCATTGATTGGCAATGAAATGGGGTTCTTGTTCATGTTGCAGGTGAACTTCTTAACCAAAATCGTCGCCCTAAAACCTGGGAAAACTCTCCGAGAAATGATAAAGAATGTGATGGAAGGCAAGGATGAAGGTGCTGATGACACCACTGGGGATGGAGACAGCAGCGATGAAAGGAATCTAAAGGGAATTGCTGGAAGGGTGAGTTAGAACTTACATGTAGGAGTTATAAAGGAGATTTTGGTTCGATTCACAACATAGCACCACAGTTTCATGTTACTCCTTGTTAATACGCAGGGAAGTGTCACTGGCCGAAAGCCACTTCCAGTTCGCCCTGGTATCTTTCTCGAGACCGTAACCAAGGTACTCTCGCTTGGTTGGTTACTGTTGACATTATGACCAAACCCCTTATAGTAACCTGAACTAGGATACTGATAGGTTTCGATTCCCTGTCAGAATCAATTGATTTCGAGACTTGTGTCTTTTTTTAATGGAAAATAGCAATATTTTCTGTGCTCGCCGATTTAAACATGTTCGGATTGATATATGATTAAGACTTGCTGGTCCTGTAGAGACCATCTTCAACCAATTTGGGTCCCTTAATGTGACGTCCATTTTATCTTTGTTTCTGTGACTTGTTAGGTACTTGGTGGTCTATACTCCGGGAATGTCTCTGGTATTACAGCCCAACATCTAGAATGGGTAACTTTCCCTTTCCCTTTCTCCCCTAGTATGACTTGTACACTTGTGCTTGTCTGTAGAGTCCTCTTCCCCAATACTTTGGAGGAAATTTAGGTGGAACTTATATCATGTGCATTTCATATCAGTAACCCTTCCTATTAATACACCCCAACATCTGCAATCATAAAACCAAATTATGCTTCAACTTCTAAGTCATATGTTGTCTTCATAAATCCAGGTTCACCAAAAGACACTCGAGGTCCTTCAAGAGATAGCATTCTAGTCCCTCATGCAGATTGACTTGCCAAGCCAAGTAAACCTCCGTCTCTAAGTTATACCAGCAAACATGCAGAGGTACAAGGGGACACTGGCAGACATATCCACAGAGTGAGGACCATAACCTCTACAGGAAGTCTTAACCTTTTGATCCTGATGAGAAAACAAACTATACAAGGTAAAATTAACTTCCCTCCGCAACCTTGTCATTTCCTGAAGAGATGAATGATGCATGAAGAAGAGAAGTTTGTAGAAGCATCATATTAAGCTAGCAATAGATGTCTAGAAAATGACAGTGTGGCAATTCAATGATAAAATCATGGTGCGTGTAATCAGATCCTAATGATGAAACCAAATCAAACCCTCGTGATTAAAGAGAATTCTAAACATAGATGGTATAGCAGTACGACTCCTCCCTAATATTCTTGATTGCAGGTGGCAATGATGAAGCTGAGGATTCCATGTGTTAAACTAATGCTCCTCTGATGACTGTGATCGCAATCACAACACGAAGTGAAGAGAAGGATATGGAGAGTGAGAACATTGATATGGATGTCGTGAAGAGTAGAAGCAAACACAGCAAGGATGGGGCTCACTGATTGGCACTCGCAAATATATAATGCTTTTATAGTTGTTTCTTTTTTGAGTTGTGCCTTCTTTTGCTTTGATGAGGATAACATTGCCTTTCTTTTTTCTTCGTTTTTCGACCGATTTGGCCCTTGATGGTTCAGTGTCAACTTCACTGGCCGACCCGACCTAACCTTGTCTCTAAAGTCTAAACCCACCTGCTGTCATTTGCTTTCCAACCCTCTGTCTGTTGTCTCGTCGGTGATCTCATTTCCTTCGTCACTATCGAAGATGAAGTTGTCACTTCCAAACTTTCATTTTTCACTTAGGTTCATGGCTAATTCTACTTCGACTAATTAATGGTTGACACACCGGAGAAGCCATGGCCCTCTATCGAGGTCTATTAAGTCAACACCGTCTTCTGTTACTGAATTGTAAGGCTATTTTAAACTTCCGGTTACTTTCTTAGCCACCTAATTGATTCCTTTATCTCTTCCTTTCCTGCATTCTCTTTCTTCACCGAAGAGTAACCACCAGAAGATGGAGTCTTTAACTACCTACTCCTGTAGCTCGCCTTTTTAAAGCAACTGCTTGGCCGGCTTCTCGTTCTTCCGTCTTATCCTTCCTCATTCCTTTTCCCCGATATGTTAAACTGGGTAAACCCGCGCAAACTTATAGAAACAAAAATAATTGGATGAAATCGCCTGCGACTCCGAACTCATTAACGTTATATTAATTAGATGGAGAACTGATAGCTGTGTATTTTCAGTTACACCAACACCAACACACTGGCTCATGTTGAGAATGCTACTCACTCTTCTTCTCTTCCATATAAAGGAAAATAAGAATGAACTAAAACAAAAGGCTCAGATGCCGTTTATTGTAGCATTAGCCAAGGAAACGTGTTGTCATTATATATTTGGCTTTCCAAGTCTTAACTTTTTCGTGATAGCTAATTCACGAATTTGCCTTTGTGGGCATGCTTTCATATCTCTGGCCCATCGGTCACATGGTCTGTTGTTCCCTCAAATCACAAGTGGCCAAGAGCTAAAACCCCCCAAAAAACATAAAAACTATCAGATGACAATTCCAATTACAATCCCAATGTTACTGTGGTAGGCAATTCAGTTGATATGGTATATATGTTTTTCCGTAGTGATACTAAATTCGTGTAATGATTTCGAGTATTAGTACTAGTGAAGACAATATGTTGTGAGTCATTCAAAAGTCAAAACATACATGTTTGTGTATAATAACACTTCATAACAATATCTCACTATTGTCGCATAATGATCTTACCATTATGGTAAAACTAATAGCACTATTTCACCAGCGTCATATCATGGATTAACAATATTATTACTAAGATGCCATGAAAAGTTTTGCTCCAAAAATAGTATAATATATAATATTGTATAGCACAAAAAATCTATTTTTTGTGTAATTTTTTTTTATGAAATACGACATAAAACGAGTGAGATATAGGGGTCGTTTGGAAGTTGCGATTGTTAAATAGATGTATTGTTGAGAATGCATGTATAATATTATGCATGTATTGTCGAATTTGATGCATTGTTGAATACAACGTTTGGTATGTGTGATTGTGTATGTCGCATCAGCTAAAAGCTGAGACAAAACAATTTCAACTCAACTATCTCAACAATCACAACTAAAAGTTGAGATATAAAAATCACTCAAAATGAGTGATAGTTTCTGTTACATCACAGAAACAATCCATGTATTGTTTCTGCTAAAAAAAACAAAAAAAAAAAAACGATGCATTGTAAACAATACATGCATAATGACAATCTCAACAAAATTATCACAACTTCCAAACGACCTCATAGTTAATTGAGGGGTCGTTTGGAAGTTGCGATTGTTAGTGTTGTATTTGTTAAATACATGCATTGTCCACAATACAACGTTTGGAAGTGTCAAGTTGCAAAAAATGCATGTATTGTTTTGTGTGGGACCCACCAACAATCAACAAAAATGAGGGATTGTACAATCTCAACTAAAAGTTGAGACTGTTGTGATTGTTGGTTTAATAATTGAGCACCTTTACTTTTTCCAATTATGTCCATAGTTCTTTTTGTTTTATATTAAAAGTGGAGGAGAAATATGACATTTTCTTATAAAGTAACTTTATAACAATCAATTCATAAATTATAATCTCAACAACCAAACAATATAATTTCAAAATGCATCTATTGTTTCAATACATGCATTTATATCATAGTGATTCATAACAATACAACGATTTAACATACGCAACTTCCAAACGACCCCTGAAAATCAATAAAAAATTTCGAAGTAGAGGACCGTTGGGCTGCATGAGATGAGTGTGACTTTTTCAAAAGCACCGAAACTTTTTAGTGGGCCTATCATCACTCATCAGATTTGAAAACTGTCCGAATCAAGCTAGTGAAGTTACGATATCGCCCTGCCTCCTCATCCCCAATGGAAACAAATGCAGTCCCGGAAAAGGAAAAGATTTCGGATGAAGAACTCACGTTTCTGCTTAGAGCATTTAGCAAGAAGACCATTAATCAAAGCTGACATTTCTTCTTCTCTTTATAAAAGAACTGTTGGGGTTTTATTTAAACACCACCGCACCGCACTCCCTCAAGCTCACGGCATCCGCGTGGGTGTACTTATTAGTTGCCCTTTGCCATTAATTTTTACACAAAAGAGCCAAACTTCATGTTGGGACTTGGGTGTCGTTCTGTTCCATTTTGATTGTTGACATTGGAGTGACATATTTTGTTCATTTATTTAGCTATTTAGTTGAGTAAGCTAATAGCTCAGCTGATAATCTCTTATTTTCCCCGATAACGGTGAATCGTTATTCTTGGGTTACTCGTTGGTCGACCCGCTGCAAGGTTACTGAGTTGGAGGTCACACAACGTCGTTTTTTCATTTGGTTTGCGAAATGGGCATCTTTTTCGATTTTGCTCTTCGCCTAAATCTTTTTTTGGAATTCTAAGTTGAACAAATGAATATTGATGGGATAAATGTCACATTTGGTCACTGAGATTACTATATCGTGTCATGTTTAGTCATTAGAAAAATTTAATATCAATTTTGGTCACTTGAATTACTGAAACAAGTCACATTTAGTCACTCTCCCGTTAGTTTCCGTCCAACTTCATTAATGGAGTTGGACGGAAACTAACGGGAGAGTGACTAAATTTGACATATTTCAGTAATTCGAGTGACTAAATGTGACGCGTTTCAGTAATTCGAGTGACCAGAGTTGGACGACGGCTAACAGGAGAGTGACTAAATGTGACCTGTCTCAGTAATTCGAGTGACCAAAATTGATATTAAATTTTTATAGTGACAAAACATGACACAATTTATAATCTCAGTGACCAAATGTGGCATTTACCCTTGATGTTATACAAGCGTGTGCGAAGTTTCACTATGTTGGATTCAAGTATGACCTTTTATTTTAGTGTAATGTCATTACTCATATGTTCGATGGTATTTGATATGATTTACAAATGTAAGAACAATATAATGACTTTTTCATATATCCAAGCTAAAGTAGTCATACTATTAATTCTCAACTTACTTGTTCGATCGGGCTAACGGGCTAAATCGGGCTAACAACCTTGACCTTTAAAACAAAAGGGGATTTTTATTTATGAAATGAGTGAAAAGTGCCACTACTTATTCAGTAATCGAACCGACACTAAAATCACCTACATAGTCAAAAAGTACCGAACAACAATCATTGAAATTATAAGTGCTTATAACATGGGTGCCTAGGGTCATAGAACCTCTTTTGAGCTAACTAATCATCCAACAAGTTGACTTCACGGTAAACATGAGTGAGTCGAACCGTCGAATCACGTCATAACAGCTCTCGAACACCAAGGTGAGGTTGGCGTGCTGGTGATCGTTGAAATGCTTTCTTGGAAGAAATACCACCGTCTTGTAGTCAACTTGTAGCTCCACTTCACGGAATCTTAAATCCCACACTAGCTCGAGGCCTTTGAGGGCCTTCAAAACTTTGCATGGGTAATGGAACATTTTCTCAGGTTCATCGTAGAGGTCCCTAACAAGCGACCCTGTTAGTCTCTAAGCGCTCCTCCTAAAGCGTTAGCCTAGATGGTCACATGAGCGACCTATCCAAGTTCACTGTGATCCACTGTCAGGGCCGGTCTCCACCCCACGACCACGTGTCAACGCGGTCATGACCTCCTTAGTGATAAAGTATGATTCGCTACTTTGTGTTGCTGAGTGACGACCTCCCATATAAGGATCCTCTGTGATAACTTGTCAGGGGTTTCTACGATGTGAAAAAATGAGGCCATTTCGCGCAACCACAAGAACTAGTAAGTAACAAAATCAAACCTGGATATCGGGGCACTCCTGAAATTGGCGAGCATCTGTAGGGTTAGTCGTCAGGGGTAGCATCTTGATCGTCGATTGTAGTGCGGGTCGAATTTACCTGTTCTAAGGCCAGGATCGTATTTTCCTATGGTCTCTCGTAGAACCCTTACTTTGAAATCGAGGTATGGTTCTATTGAAGAAGAGATCGGGTTTTAGGAGGTTGATGTTCCTTCAGTTTTGCAGAACGTAAGAGTTCAAAGAGTAAAGCGATGATGAAAAGTAAATCTAATCTATGTTGGACGAGTGAGAGATCAGAGAAGGAAGGCGTTGCATAGCAAGCTCCCACTAGGACTCCTAACCATACGTCCCTCGAAGATAAGTGGCATATGACCTGTCAATTTCTTACTTTGTTATATCCCACCTTGTGTCGAAGCATTTACCCAAATTGATGAGCAACAAGAAACCTTTGAATTTCTCTCTAGAGGTGTCACGCCTTATAGATCGAATGACGTTCGATCGAGTAGGGCAGCTGATAACACCTAAATTGGTGTTATTTATCCCTCGTATCTAGGTTCATTATGAGTCATTTCATGTGCATATTGATTGATACATCATCAAATATATCCCAATTTCGCTCATTGAAGAATATATCATTGTATTAGGGTGTATTAGATGATATGTACGAATTAGGTACCAAAATGGCACAAGTGTAGCAAGAATGGAGCAAGAATGAGAGATCACGACCGCGAACGTGAAGATCATGGCCAGGAAAGGTGCATCAAAGTAGAGTACCAAGATCGCGGCTTCAACCCTCAAGATCGTGACTGAGATCTCTAGAGCAATGGGCGCGAACTTGGAGAGGCAGCCAACGAGAGAGAAGCATAAGGTTTCAGCAGTCAACTCATAGTCTCATTCTTCTGAGTCCGCGAGAAAGATCAAGGCAGTAACATCCAGGATCACGATCGAGATGTCAGGCCGCGAATTTCCAAGTTTTCAACGCATAAAGATGTTAACTCGAGATCGCAGCCTCGCCACATAAGTTCACGACCGCGAACTTGTCTGAAATGTCATAATTCTATAAATATGGGCCTTTTCCCCCTTGAGAAAATGGCTTTTGGCAGATTCTTGATTCTAGAGAGATTAGAGAGATAAGCTGAAGAAAGGAGAAGAAGAGAAGGAGGAGCCATCTCCCCTATCAAGTATTCTTCATTTTCTTCTATGTTCTTCTTCCCTCCTTTATGGAG